TTTTTTTTTTTTTTTTTTTGGGTAATAATGATTGTTATTAATTTAATTTTCAAAAAAAAAAAAAACTTTTTATTACAGCAATAAAAAAGAAAAAAGAAGTGAGTTAATATTTATTAGAATAGTGTGATATATATATATATATATATATATACAAGAATAGATAGATGGATTGAAATTCCTCGTGTATAAGATTCAGGTTCGATGAGGTTTAAAGCAAATGCTGATAAAGGAATTGGTGACGTCAAAGGGGCAGGACGTCGCCTAAATTGCTTGCAAATTATATTTAAACTGACATGACGCCAAAAGCCACAACTATAAAATTTAGTTTTTAAGTTTTATTTTCGTTTTTTTTTTTTTTTTTTTTTTTTTGTTTGTTTGTAATATCTTTATTTTTATTACGAACACACACACACACGCACAAACACATACATAAATATATGTATTAATATTTGTGTGATAAAATCGGGTAAATAATTTTGATGATGGCACTTAACTTTTTCTTTTTTTTTTTTTTTAGATAAATCTTCGACTTATATTGGTGAGCGGTAAGACGAAAGAATTTCTTTTTAGTCCAAATGAATCAGCTGGAGAAATAGCACAACATGTTTTTGACTGTTGGCCCGAAGGTATTTATTTATTTTTTTTTTTGTCATTAAATAAATAATAATAATAATAATAATAAATTAATAAAGAAATACATACGTAAATACATTTATATAAGAATAATCAATTTCGATACCCGGATATCCGGAGTAATAAACTGTTTAAACAACAACAACAAAAAATTTCTTCCTTTTTTTATTATCCGCAAATTTTTCTTAAAATTTTATCGGTTTTGATTTATGTGAAGGCCAAAAATTTTCATTTGAAATTTCTTAATGTTGATTATCATATCATTTGTTAAGGTCAATTATTATTTCTTTTAAATTATAATAATTTTTTTTTTTTTTTTTATTAGTAAGATTCCCTAGTTTTTTTTTTTTTACCCATCTCATAATAAATAAAGTGAGAAAATTTATTTGTCACAAAATTTTTTTTTTTTTTTGTTTAAAAACAAAAACTTTTACCGTTCAATGACATGGCAAATCTGTACACACATGAGTGTATATGCAAATAAACCGTCAACGTCCTCGATCTTAATTTTTTGTTTTGTTTTTATTAAAACGTTACAAAACACCACATACACACACACATACGAACGTTTTGCCTCCCGGAGATTTTTTTTTATATTAATTTTATAATTGTAAAGCATCGAATATTCTTGATGTTTTTCTAAAATGTGTTTACGTGAATTAACTTAATTTAAATAAAGGTTTAATATATCTGTATATTAAAGTATTTGATTAATTTTTAGATTGGGCAGAAGAAGCAGTTTCAAAAGCAGAAATACTCAGACTTATTTACCAAGGCCGGTTCCTACATAGCAACGTAACATTGGGTGCCCTAGGATTACCATATGGTAAAACAACCGTCATGCATCTTGTGCCACGAGAAAATCTCCCTGAGCCAAATTCACATGGTAAGTGGTTAAAACATGCTCTTTTTATTTTTTTTATTTTTTAAAACTCTTATGTCTTGGTAATATTTTTTAATTAAATATTTACCTCTTTTTGAAAAAAGACCAATTTTGATGTATTTTTTTTCTTTTCATGTTGAATTTAAAAAAAAAATTTTTTGTTATAAAGATTCGATCACACTTAACTTAAAAAGGTTGAATTGAAATAATAAAATAAATATTGTTACATAAATTATTTTCTACACGTCCTTTTTCATTTTACTAATAAAACTCTTTTCTTTTTTTAAGTTTGGATGCCTTGACAAAAAAAATAAAATAAAATAAAATAAAACGAACAAACAACAAACTTTTTTTTTTTTGTCCATTTCGAAATTCGCAAGAAATTTGCATGTTAGAAGTGTTTTCCTCCCCCCCAAAATCTCAAAAAATAGGTTTTTTCATAGCCTTGTTTTTTCTTTGTAAAAAGAAAAATTCATATATTATGAACACAAAAACTTTTCAAAGGTTAGTAAAAATATAAATAAGAAATGAAATCAATTATATTTAGTAAATAGGATTTTTTCTTTTTTTTTTTTTTTTTTTAATTTTTTTTATAAATAACAGGAAAAATTGTTTTCTTTTCTTTTAGTTTTTAAAAAAGGCGCCACAAAAAAAAAAAAAAAAAAAAAAAAATGGGGAAGGAAGTTAGTGTAGATAATATTATATGT